CCGCGTGAGATCTGCGTGCGAACATAGCATGAGCTTATGAAGTGCCAATATATAGAACAAACATGGCTGCTCGATACGATTGTAAGAACTACTAACCCCGGTTATCTCTTATGTGTGGAATCTCTCCCTGTCAACTCATTCCTGGCCTGAATCTTGGAAAAGAGCGAACACCAGTCCATTATCTAAGGTTGAAGTACCTAAGGAGAATGGTGATTTCCGGGGAATCAGTGTTACACCGGTGATTGCTAAAGCTCTTGAAAGGGCTGTATACAACAAACATGTCGGGCGCGTCATGAAGGATCACCTGAGCAGTAGCCAATTCGCGTACAGAGAGGGTGGGAATTGCACATCTGCGCACATCTGCTATTCAGCACCAGATTTTGCAAATACCTAGATGATAATAATTGTAAAGCTGTGCGACTTTTTACCATGGATTTTTTCAAGGCATTTGACTCGGTGAACCATAATCTCCTGTCTACCAAGCTTAAACAATTACATATATCTCCATATCTTGTTAATTGGTATCACAGTTTTTTATCCGGTAAGCAGCAACGCATTTTGTCTGATAACCATCACCGTAGCTGGGAGCTGTCAATAAGGGTACTGCACAAGGTAATGTTAGTGGCCCCCATCTCTTTAATATTTTTCTTAACGATCTTGAAATTACATATGATGGCTTCCCTGTGTTATTCAAATATGCTGATGATTCGAAAATTGTTGCACCGGTACTAGGCAATCCTGATACCTTTGTAACCTTAGTGAATGAGTTTTAAATTGGTCGCGAGAGAACTGTATGTCATATAATCCTAGTAAATGCAAAGAGCATGTAATTAGAAAGAAATCGAACAAGGGCACCTATAATCCAGTCAATTGCATTCCACAACATAATGAATTGTGCTTACTCGGAGTCACACTTGAGAGTGTTTGCAAGTTTAGTTCTCATGTTAAGGTCAAACTAGTTAAAGCTAACAAGTGCCTCCATATATTAAGAACTTTGAGAAAGGAACAATATGACCAGACTCAAATAGATCTCCTTTTTAAGACAATTGTATTACCTAATTTAACTTATGACCTTTCAGTGTATGGTGCGTATGAACGCGATTTAAACATAGTACAGAACTTTTTAAACAGATGTTACAAGCAGCTTTATATTTCAGCTCAATTGGATGCCAAGGATATCATGCATATGCAGGATAACAAATAATTTAGTGGAGCTAGGGTCCTAAGCCATCATCTGTTAAATGAAATTCTGCCGAAGCCTAAACTCCAACAATATAATTTACGTCGCAAGGTTTGCCTCCGCCCAAAGATTAACACAGAACATTTCATGAACACGTTTGTGAACAGACTAATTTTTGAGCACAACCTGTTATAATTACACAATTTAATTTTTGGCCATAGCATATTATTGTAATTATCATTACGCAGTTAAGTTCTCGTTTATGTAATATAGGATATCTATCTTTTACCTTATGGTTAATTAAAGACTTTAAAGACTAACATCTGCGCTTCGATCTTTTGTTTTTCAGTCTGCCATACGTATGTGATCATAATTCTGACAATACCCGAGATCACAGCATTGGCATCAGCACTTTGTCATCAGTCAATAGCTTTCAGTAAAGGTTTTCTTTAATCAAATACTGATTTCTTCACCATTTATTTTGAAGCAATGGTCACAGGGAGTATAATTTTGTCCGTTATATGATGCCATATCCAAAATGTCGTTTATGACCACCTCTTCCTTTCAATACCCTCTAGCTCTGACATTTCCATGCAATAAATAGACTGATCTTGAATAATCGCACAGGGTGGTTCAGAACTTGACTCTTCGATCGCTTCATTACTGACTCTCCTTTTTTTATTTTTCAGTCATCAGAAAATTTACCCGAGCTTATGGTGAGAATTGTGTTCCATGCATTTGGTAGACTCCTAAATAACACCTACAAGAGTTTTTCATTCTGAAACACAGGAATTCCATCCGAGGGAAGATTTTCAGTGGAGAAATACCAGTCAAGAAGCTTGTTTCATCCTCTGTAGAGCAGCTCACCAAAAACTTAACAACTTGGTAAACAGTAATTATATCTTTATCTTGAATGAATACACAGTTTTTTTTGTTTGATTGTTTGTTTTTTTTTTAATGCAAGACTTCAACAAAGTAAATATACCATGATTATTTTTCTGCATTTAAAGATTAAAAGTGAGACTCAATTTTTGACGCAAAAATCTCTTACAAGTGTAGTTGCAGTGAGCATTTTACTTACATAACAATGCAATACAAAACTTATGGATGTGTTTAATGCAATAAATCGTTTATTGTCATAGTCCTTCGAGTGCTAAATCTATGTGGATTTACATATTTGAAGACTGCTCGAGGAAACTGGTAGAAAGGAGAGCTGGGCCCCTATTTGTTGAACTAAGATTCTTGTCAAGTTACATGCCTCGCATTTTGGTAATTGTTACAATCATTCACGTCAGGTACCGTGTGATAAATCAAGATCAGTCTATTTATTGTATGGAAATGTCAGACCTAGAGGGTATTTAAAAAAAGAGGTGGTCATAATGTTAAAGAACCTGATTTTTTTGTTTTGTTTTGTTTTGCTTGTTTGTTTTTTTGTTTGTTTGGGGAGGGAGAGCATGCTTCTCAGGGAAACGGAGGGAGCATAAGTCGTTACCAACTGAGTATAAAAGGGGAATTACAGAGAATTGACAGCCAATGAGAAGGGATCTTTAGAATACTATGGAGCCTTATGGAGGATCAGGGAATATTCGTCGTGACACAACCAAAATCCTCCCATACATCCCCCCTCCCCTCCCCCTCCCTCCCAGAGTTACAAATACCGACCTGTCTAGAATACTTGAATTCAGGTGTTTAAAGATACTACAACTAGAAAGTGGAGCGACTTACAAATAAGAAATGTGTGCTCTGATAAAAGATGTTACACTTACAGCATTTCCAGCCTTAGATTACTGCTGAAAATATCTGAAGGCGACTCCCTCCGCTGGTTGTCTCTAAAATACCTAGTAACATAAAATTATGTAATCTAATGATGTTAAAGAATGGATGTCACATTTTGCAGGACGTATTAGTTGATAGCTAATCCCCTTCTTTGTGAGTAATAATTACTCCGTAATGTACCGATTAATTCGAATCTCAACGTTTCCTCTCCTCCCTCTCCCACTCCCCCGGGCAACCCACGGGCATAGGACCGTCGTCCGTGCCCGTGGGGTGGGAAATTTGAACCGGAATCGGAATTGTCATAAGCAACTCACTACGCATTTGGCCCCTACACGTTGTAAACTCCTGCTTGAGAAATGAGGCGATTTGGTACAGAAATTTGAAACACAACTGTCCACACGGACCAGCAAGCACTTGGCAAATCATTTCGTAACCATTATTCTCCTCTTTAAGACGGCCGAGCAAATGAAAAATGGGTAACTCGCTTTATCAAATTGTTGAAAATGGGGAGATAAAAGTTCACTTGTATCCCCTTAGTTACCCCTTTTTCTCCCCCTTAGTTGTCCTGTATTTGTTGTATCATTTGTTTTCGTCTCTTCTTCTTTATCATATCCACTTTTGTGCTAGGCAAGACTCTGTACTTCCCTAAGAATTGAAAGAGTTAATAATCAGTCTATTATTTTTAACTGTAACTAACAGGCGATTTTATTCTCTTTAGTGTTCGAATGAGATTTTGATTACCAAAGGTGAATCGTTCATCGCACAGTAAAACAGCAACAAAATGAGTCCAATCAGTTGCCCTATGCATGACAGCGTGTTTGAAACATAAAATAGTAGAAAGAAATTCAGGGTAGTTTAGTATTTTCAACTGAGTTGACAACGAAAATTGGCCACTGTAAAGAGTTTAAAAGCTGACGTTTCGAGCGGTAGCCCTTCGCCAGAGCGATTGGAGGAATTGTGGGTTGTGTGTGGGTTTATATACAGAAAGTGGAGCTACGCTATTGGTGGAAATATGATGAGGAGAAAACAAGAATGAATTATTTCGGTGAAAAGCACTCCTTGTTACCGTGGAGATTAAGAGTGCCGATTTGAAAGATACATTTTTGTTCTATAGTTTTATTGCCTTCCGAACTTCCTAGGTATAGGGAAAGGCTGCAAATTTCCAAATGCTGCTTTGGATACGTCCTTGTTATTTCTTTCTACGTCGCGAAGGTGTTCACGGAATCGATCACCTAGTCGTTTTCCTTCCAATAAAAAATAAAGAAGCTAATCTCACTATTAATTAGATATTTGAAAAATGGAACCTCAAGCTCCTTGACCTTAATTTCCTCCTGACCACAATAAATAACTCTGCTAAATTTTCGGTTCTAAATGAAGTGGGTAAATAGTAAATTAAAAATTTAAGATAGAGATGGGCTAACGACGTAACATCTTACACCTGTCGCCGTTTCGTTCCTAAGTCCAGATAGGTGCGACACGTAGAGAACAAAATTAAAATATTTTTAAAATAACTTTGTATCTGTAACCTACATTAATTTTGATATTAACATTTTTCTCTTAGTTTTCCTTAGCTGAAAACAATTCCTGGCGTCCCAAGATCACGTGAATTAATAATTCATGCTATTATCCGGGTAAAAAAACGAACCCGATTCAAACAACACGTCGGCTGATGCGTTGGTCAAAGCGACTGTCGGTTGACTTTCGATGTCCTATCACTGAAGGTTTATTAGAGTGAAGAAGTTTTTCTTTTTTTTTTTCTGTTTTGTTGGGGAATTGACCTATCAAAAATGGAGTTTTACTTTCCCCTTATTACTAATTCAAATTCGCGCGGAGAAAACGGCTTTTTTTTCTCTTTTGTGTAATAAACCTCACAGCTGTCGGGCATTTTACATAGTCAGACACTTGTGATGAATTTTTACTCTCTGTAAATGCTATTCAAAAACTAAGGTTTAACTGATCTTGACTTGGAGGGTGCTGTTAAGACGAGATATTCCTCGTTGTAAATAAGGATAGCCTACAAGAGAGTGGAAACGACAGCAGGATGATGGCGACAATAAATATAACGGGAAATGCAACACAGACGAAAACATTTAAGATATTGATATGCTCTCCAGATTGGGTAGGTGATTTTAAACTACAGTCCATTTCATTCTCAGCAGTCAGCATTCTCCTTTCCATCACAGCAACTCTTGGGAATTCTCTTATCCTCATTGCCCTTCACAAGGAATCTTCCCTCCATCCGCCATCCAAACTCTTGTATCGTTGTCTAGCAACAACTGATCTGTTGGTTGGTCTTGTTTGCCAGCCTCACTATGCTATTTATCGGATTTCCTTGGTTCACGAACACTGGAGTCTTTGTCGCTACGCAAACTACGCAGTTAACATAACAGGCTATACATTGTGTGGAGTTTCTCTGGTTACAACGGCCGCCATAAGTGTGGACCGACTTCTCGCCATGTTGTTGGGACTGAGATACAAAGAGATTGTAACTTTGAGGCGCACGTATATCATTTTAGCTATCGTTTGGGTTACATGCCTAGTCACTGGTTTATTTTTTTTGCTCAATTACAGTATAACCTTTTGGTACAGCCTTATAGGTATACCATTTTGCCTGTTAATCTCAATCGCCGCCTACACAAAGATTTTCCGCGCTCTCAGGCATCATCAGGCTCAAATACAAGATCATGCTCAACAACAGCCGAGCCATCCAAATGCAATGAACATGGCACGATACAGAAAGGCAGTGTACAGTGCACTGTGGGTGCAGTTGGCTTTAGTTGTCTGTTATATACCACAATTTACAGTGCGAATTGTGATATCTAGTACAAAGCAATCTTCGAATTTATTAATATTCCTGAGAATAGCAAATATCTTAGCGTACTTTAACTCTACTTTAAACCCGTTACTTTACTGCTGGAAGATGAGTGGAGTGAGACGAGCAGTAAAGCAGACAATCAGACAAGCATTCTGCTATGCGTAGGGGTAGACCTGTTTTAACTTTGGCATGTACTGTTTCTTCTTTAGCTAATTTGAAAAAATATAGTTGTTTGGAGAGAGGGGAAGATATGTCATTTCATGATGAGGAGAGCTACTTCTAAATATTAAAATGTATTTGAATTATCTGACAAACAACTAACAGGTGAAAAAATTTAGTGTAGTAGCCATAACAAAACAATAACATGTCGCCAATTTGCGCATTTCTAATGAAGTAGTGAAGCGGAATCAGAACGCGCTCAGGATTTTTCTTTGCGATCAAAACTGGATGAGATATGTCGCCTTACCTCAGAAGTAAGATTTAGTGATAACGTGCTGTTAACGGAGCCAGCCGCTCGATTTTGTCATGATTGGGAATTAGCCACGGTGTTTATAACGAAACTTTGTGAAATAAAGATGCGGCTTTGGTAACATCTGTTCAAATATACAGAAGGAAACGTTTAGAAAAGAAATTGATAATCTCTATTTCATATAGAGTTATCATTTGAGACCAGTCGTTTGCCTAACATTTAGCTCGCAAATTTTAACAGAAAAAAATTTCTTAGGGTTAGGGTTAGGGTTAAGAAATGATTAAAAAAACTCCAACATGGTTAATAAGACTATTTGTTTTTCAGTATGCTACTAACATTAACGAAGGCTTTTTAGCGAGTGTCATCATAAGCCCACAACATTTTGACCACTGTGATGACGAATATCGTTGTCGATAAAAGCACAGATCACAACAAACCATGGCCACGGTCGATTTGTTAAATGGAGATTTTTCGCACACAGCACTGTTCACTATAAAAACCTAACTTATATTGTAAATAGCCGAAGATGATCTGTAGAAAAAATTGTCCCAAGAGAAGGAGAATTTTTATTGTTAATGGTGTTTGAGGTAAACTGTTCACCGCTAGATCTATTTTCAGACTTGTTAGGGCACAAGGCAGAGTTCAATTTAGTTTGATCGGTAGACAGCTTGTCATTATCTCAAAGTTCATGTCAGGTGCGACACGTAGAGAACAAAGAAAAAAATTCAAATATTTTTAGGGGTAACTATGCAAATCCAAACATACATTAATTTTGAATAGTTTTATGTAATCCAGTTTTCTTTTTTTCCCAATAGCGATTAGCGTTTTCAAAAAGGGCTTTTTACCTTCAACTAAGATAATACACGGCGTCCCAAGGTTGCATGAATTATATCAAAAGTCGATAAACCACCTTATCAGTGAAAGTTTATTTGAGTAAGCAGGGTTGCGTTTGTTGCCGTAGTGAGAAATAATTCTATCACAAATGTGAATTTCCTTGCCGCCTATTGCTAATTTAAATTTGCAGGAAAACCCGGCCCCTAACACACCAGACAGCTAGTTTGTGAATTTTGCATAGTCAGACGCTACTGATGAAGTTTTTATGTAATTATTATTCACAAAGTAAGGTTTGAATGATCTTGACTTGGGGGGTGCTGTTTAGACTAAATATTCCTCGTTGTTACTATGGATAATCTACAAAAGAGTGGAAACAACAAAAGGATGTTGCCTTTTGCCCTCTCGATACCGTCTGGTGTCGCTGGTTTATGTTACATTTTAGGCTATACCGATTAGATATGTGACACGGCCATATAATATACGGCCTATCTATGCCACATATTGGATGTCCGTGGTTCACGAACACTGGAGTCTTTGCCGATACTCATTTCACGCAACAGGCGCAACAGGCTATGTATTTTTAATTTTCTTTATAAAGATGTGGACTTTGTTTTCATCTGTTTAAATATTATAAGGTCAATGATTAGAAAAGAAGTTGATTATCAGATAGATTTATCGTTTGAGAGGAATCGTTTGTCGGAGAGCAAGTTCGCAAATTATGACAGAAGAAGCTTGTGATAAGAAATAGTTCAAAAACTCTAACATGGTTGATAAAACTGGCTTTTTTCAGTCTGTTACCAGCATCAATTAAGACTGTCTATCGAGTGCAAAATTGTAGAAGGTTATCCATAGATTTATTTGAGAAAATAATTTTAAAGACACTTTTATTATCAATTTCGAATATTCAAGAAGATTTCGTGACTTTACTACAGGCCATGTGCACACAGCTGGTCTTACGAGAAAACATCCTCTCATTCTAATGACAATCGAGCAAAAAAGCTGCGAACACCCCCTCTCGAGTACCTACTACTGCTCTTTGTTAAAAATGTAGACTAGCTATTCATAGCAAGGATCATTTCCGCGCTTGAATTTCATGATGGTCGAAAAATGATTTACGTCCTTAAAATTCTGGAAAAAAAATAGGTATTTTGAAAGTCATAGATGTTTGCATGGTTCAAAAACTAGCACGCTCTAATATTTTTATGTGGTTTCCTTTATTATTTCCCTTTCGTCCTCGGGACCGTTATAATTACTAATATCACGGAATAAATAAGAGGTTATATGCAAATTTTTGATAAGTTAATAATATGAAAAGGTATACCACATAGACAAAATGAGAGTCAAATAAATTTGGTCAGCTGTGTTTAAAAGATCAAAAATTTTTCATCGATCGACTGATTTCCGACCGCAATTTTTAGATATCATGAACTTATGTTCTCAAATACTCCAGGGAATTTTAAAATGCTCTTTTTTTTACTTTGTCTTGCTGAGTCATGGTCTCAGCCAGGCAAGCCAAGCTGACACTGATCTTTCAGTAGAATTGATGAAATGATGTAGAATGTCGCAGGCTGTTGAGCATATCACTATAAGCAGAGCTCATATTTAGCTGTTGTTTGTTATTACAAGCCTTTTCCAGTCATTCGTTTAGTAAAACGGAGCGAAATGGTACACGGCACGATAGCAGTGGTGGAGTGAAAAACGGGGGAGGTTTCGGTCGGATCGGGTCGGGTGAATGCCATTCTTCCCCGACTCGACCCAAGCCTCACTCTTTTTTCGTTCCGCCCTGACTATCGCGCCGTTTACTGAGCATTTCGTTTTACTAGCTGAACGTCTCGAACAAGCAACGTTATCACTCGATAAGTTGTCAATAAAAGCTGTGATGCAGACTTCGAGTGAATGCTACAGGCATTTTCTTCGAGTGAGCAGTGGAGCCACTTTATCACGAAAGAGGAATCGCGATACTTTGTACATAACAACTTTAATTGTTACTACGATGTTTTGCAATCAGATAACTAATCAACAGAGAAATGAACTTACCCAAATTAACGCTTTATAAAGCAAACAATATATTTAAAAAGGTTTTTGTAGCTTTATGCTTTGCGCCTATTGTAATGGGGCGGACGCTGAAATTAATTGAATCCAACAACGTCGTATCGGAGAAATGTTTTATATTGACGAGACCTCCAAGCGTCCATCGAATCTCAATTGAGTTATTTAACTTGAAAGTTTATAAAAACTGAAATACAATAAATTAAAAAAAAAGCCATTACCATACAATACACACTGATCGAAATATTCTAAACTCGAACACGAGGGGCGTGTATACAGATAAATCAAATCAACACAAATATCCTAAGCGAAACAAAACTACCTTGGATTGTACTCGTTTCGGTATATAACTAGATACATAGATAGATTCTTTATTGAAATACATCGCAGCTCGTAGAGCTTAATTTACGTATTTTCATTAAAATTCTAATTGAATGTACAAACTTACAAATTGAATAATACCTAAGAGCTAATGATAGTAATATCTAAAACATTTAAAAGCTATAAACATCTTGTTGAAATCATATTGTGAAAAGTCTAATAATTTAAACGTTATTCACCAGGGCACGTGAAGCCATAATAAAACTATTCTTAAATCTGTTTGTTTTACATCGCGGTATGCCGAAGGATCGCGCGTGCTTAATATTTTACTTGCTCTCATGTAGAGGCGGTAGTAATTTCCTGAGTTTATGGCTGCTGTCATTGAAAATACTTTCAAGCGTACGCTTGCAAATATCTCTGCGATGCTCCGCTACGGACGGTAGGTTCGATAGCGCAAACGCGTGCTGATATTCCATGCCAGGGCAGAGGATTCGCATTGCCCTTTTCTGATCTAATCGATAACGGAGCGCACACGTGATGTTGAAAAGACAAAGATCTTTCTGAGAAACGCGGGCTCTTTTAAGCTGGATGAGAAAATAGAGCCTCTTAGCTGCCGTTTTTATCACTTCTGTGATATGTGCGTTCCAAGATAGGTCACTTGAAATAGTTACACCTAAGAGTTTAGCATCAGTAACAACCTTTATGCACTCTCCTCTGATAACTACAGGAGGGAAATCATGACTTACTGAAGCAAAAGAAATGCGAAGTTCCTTACATTTGTCAGTATTTAGTTTGACTCTATTTCTGCTGGACCAGTCTGCTACCTCATCTGCTACAGTCTGGGCATTGCTCACTTTTCCTTTCCTAATTACTTCAGATGTCATCGTGTCGTCTACGTATTTCCAAAGTGATGAATTACAAATTGCTAGGTCACTAATCATGATTAAAAACAACCATGGACCTACAGAACTACAGAAATAAACCAAATGACTTACCTCTTTCGTCGTTCTATTAATTTTTCAACAATCCTTCGATCTATCTCCTCTTCTGACTGTACTTGCAACTCACACGCGTCTCGTGGCCGAATGAAACTCGAAAGTATGTCACGCAAAACAAAAGGGTATTGAAAGTCACGCAAACCCCAACTAAAAATAGCCTTTGCTACACCTACGAAATAACTGAATATTTTTATTCGGTAGCAAAGCCGTATTGTAAAAAAAAGCTCGTATAGTTTTTCGAAAGCACAAAAACAAAATCTTGGCTAAATTAACATGGTATTGGTGAACATATATTCCTTCAAAGGAAGTCTTCAAACTGCTTCCTGACCGTGTAACATCTGCCCTGTAACCTTTCTGCTTTTCAGTTTGTCGTTCGTATGTGAGTAAGTCCCGAGATCACAGCATTGGCACAAGCACTTCGTCATCTGTCAATAGCTTTCAGAAAGGGTTTTCCTCAGTCAAACACTGAGTTTTCCACCATTTATTTTGACACACTGATCACAGAGAGTATAAATTTGTCCCTGTTATATGATGCCATATCCAAAGAGGTCGTCTAACATTTTGATAAACAGGTAACTAATACAAAGAGCATGATTCAGAGGCAAAATTCCGCCTTAAAACCAGAAAATGTCTCCCGTTGAAAGAATATTTGAATTATTTATGATTTTTTGAGTAACATTCCCACCCTGGCCCATTGATCTATCTTGCGACCTTACAGGGTATAACGGCAGGATAAATTGTCGCTGAACGACTGATTCCCTTTTAGGATGGTTATTTAATGCAAGGTACACATGCCAACCTCTGTGGAAAATATCTATGTGCCTTGTGGCACAACGGACTCTCGAGATCGTTTGGGCATTTCAAACTGGGTAGGTAATACGGTTTTAATGCTTAAGGATACATGCATAAAAGGTGAGATCGAAGCCAAGGTGGATGTGAAGTTGTTGTGAAGGCGAAATATCTCTGTTATACCCATAGAAAAGTAGATACTGATGATGCCGACCACAAATTGAACAGCATTTGAAAGGCAAACAAAAACATTTGAAGACCTAGTTTTCTCGCCATCACAGGCAGGTAGATGTGACAACAATCACTTTATTTCACGGCAGTTCACATTCTCCTCTCGCTCATGGCATTTTTGGGGAACTTCCTCATCCTTATTGCCTTTCACAAAGTATATTCCCTTCATCCGCCGTCCAAACTCTTGTATCGTTGTTTGGAAACAACTGATCTGTTAGTTAGCATTGTCAGCCAGCCTCTCATTGCCCCTTATTGGATGTTCTTGGTTCATGAAGAGTGGTATCTTTGTCGATGCACATACAAAGCAACAAACATAACAGCCTATATGCATTATGTTCAGTGTGGACAGACTTCTAGCCCTGTTGTCGGGGCTAAGATAAAGACAAATTCAGTGTACTTCATGGTAGCAACCTTTTGGGTACCGTTTGGTGTCGCTGGTTTATGCTACATTTTAGACTACCGAATAGATATGTCGTCCCCCTTTTATACTCTGTTGGTGACGACTTATCCTCCCTCCGTTTCCCCTGAGAACCATGTGATCCCCCTCTCCCCCCCCCCCCCCCCCGAAAAAAGAGTCTTTTACATTATGATCACCTCTTCCTTTCAATACCCTCTAGCTCTGACATTTCCACGCAAAAAATATACTGATCTTAAATAATCGCACAGCCTGGTTGAGAATTTGACTCTTCACTTGATTACTGTCTCTCCTTTTCTTATTTTTCAGCCATCAGAAAATTTACCCGAGCTTATAGTGAAAATTGTGTTCAACACATTTGGTAGACTTATAAACAACACCTACAAGAGGAAGATACGTTCTTTGATTTTCATCCCGAAACACAAGGACTCCATCAGAGAGAAGGTTGTCAATGGAGAAATATCAGTCAAGAAGCTTGTTTCATCCTCTGTGGAGAAGCTCACCTAAAAAGTTACAACTGGGTTGTTTATCGTGTTATATAAACATATTTTCTATTTTTATGCTGAATGAACATACAATCTTTTTTTAAAGGCAAGACTTAGACAAAGTAAATATACCATGATCCTTTTTGCGTTATGAAATACAAATTGTCTGAAATATTTAAAGATTAAAAGTGAGACTCGGTTTTTTTAAACAAAATGTCTCTTGCAGGTGTAGTTGCGGTGAGCAATATACTTGAAATACAATGCAATACAATTGCCATGACCTCTTCGAAAGGCACTTTTGAACACCCATACTTTCCTCAGAGATCCCAACTGATTTTATGAAGAACTCTTTGAAGTGATTTTGTGTATTCCATTCACGCATTGTGAAGCTCTGAGTTAGAAGTTGGCACTATAAGTCATGGACCAACTTTTCTGTGCTTGAATTTATGACCCAGGTGCAAAGTGCACAGGTTATAAATCTGAGCAAAAAAAAAGGGAGGTTCTGTAACTGACAACACAGACCAAGAAAACAACTTAGTGAGATATTATATCTCAGGGTTCAAATACAGGGGGGAGACTTACGTACAAACAAATTTTGAATTCAGCGGGCTGTACGATGAAATATGGCCCATTAAATTGACTGATCATAGTAAATTTACTAACTGAGAGATACATGGATAGTTAAATCTTGAGATTAATCTTAAATACAGTATCACTTTTCAAAACGGTGGTTTTTTGTTTCCTTGTTCTTTCCATCAAGAAATTCAAGAAAATTACTCAGAGGATAAGATTTATGCTGTTCTTATGACTGTATTCCTTTCACAAGCTGTTTCACCATTGTCTCGATTTGATTGTTGTTCATGTATTCAGAGTTCGACACAGCATTGGCAACAGTAATCGTATGAGGTATTGATGATGAATTGATCCACACTCTCCCATTCATTCCCACAGTGCATTCAAATGGGAAGTGCTTTCCAAGACATTTTAGAAGAACAAATTCTTTGCTGAGCAGTCTACAAGAGAATTACACAGTCAAACAATCATTAAAATTTGAGTCACAAAACTTTACCGAAGGCACAAGGTACGGATGAAGTTAGTTCTGAGCCTACTGGCCATTCCAGCCAGAGTTTACAGTATCTCTAACTTAAACAGGATGCTGGTCCTTCACAAACTACCCCTACCCTTCCCTTCCCCCCACTGACATTTTTCCTAGTTTTCCTGAGTTTGCCTGTACCCACCTATGTTCCTAGGTGGAGAGAGGCACTATTATTCATCTCACCTAATTCCTAGTCCTCCCTCCCCCCTCCCACCCTCCTTCCACCACTTGAGGATTTTGCTAGCTTTCCCTGACAATTCACATAAACCATTTATACTCCTGGGTGGAGAGAGGCAGCATGAGAAGCAATTTCATTTATCTAACACAAGCCCAAGCCCCCCCCCCCCCTCCCGAGCCACCCTTCCAGGATTTTATTAGCTTTCCCTGACAGTTCACATGAACCCATTTATACTCCTAGTCGAAGAGAGATCATGTGAGAGTTAAGTACAGTATCCTACTTAACCCTTTAACTCCCAAGATCAGATTATTAATTCTCCCCTTCAGCTGCTACCCATTTCCTTGTGAGCAAATTACAAGAATTTGGCGTTAGATCATTGATAAGAACTTCTACCTGATAAGTTTGAGTCTTATTAATACCTGTTTGCTGAACAGTGTACAGATATTGTAGGGAGATGTTACATTTTAATCACTTCAGGAAATTAAAGGGTTAAGGACAAACAAAATTACTCCACCGGGTCTCAAAACTGGACCTCTGCACTGGGCTTTATTTCTTGCCAGAAAAAAGCTCAGGTTAACCCAGATGTGCAAGTGAAAATTGATAAAAGGAAATGATGCAATACTCATTATTAAACAATCTGGTATGCACATACAATACTCATTATTAAACAATCTGGTATGCACATACAATACTCATTATTAAACAATCTGGTATGCACATACAATACTCATTATTAAACAATCTGGTATGCACATACAATACTCATTATTAAACAATCTGGTATGCACTTATAGTATGAGTATTAATAACCTCCCTCATGGAAATTCCTACATACTCAAATAAGCCATATTCAATATATTACAATTCAAACTTGGCTCTGAGGTTTGGGAGAATAAAACAAAACAAATCAGTCCAAGGTTGAGGGATAAATGATGAGTTTCTTTTGTTTAATTCCCCCTAGCCTCAGAGTCATGTTAGAATTTTTTTAATATATCAAAAATGGCCTATTAGTAGCAAGTAGGTGACAACATTTGGAGGGGCAACATGACTTGGGGCCACAGGACCAATTACCATACAGGATTAAAAAAACTCAGAAATCTCACTTACTTTCTTGAAAGTCCAAGTGAACAATTGATCATAAAGCCTCCAGACAGCTGTCCCAGACCAGTGCTTTTTCCACTGCCATCTGTGCAATCCAGTTCAGGTTCCATGTCCTTATTTGCAACACAAAGCCTGGCGTAAACAATATCCCCTATCTGAAATTGATAAAATTGATCAGTTGTAAATCCTTTTCTCAAAACAATAAGGTAGCTGATTATCAGCTGCAAGTGCAGGGCTAAAAATTAACTACAGTGCTTGGTGGCCAGTCAGGCCAGTTTCTTTGAATTCTTAGTGGCCCATCCCAAAATGAAGTAGCCCTCAATTTCCTCTAGTTTAAAATGAAAAACTTAAATAAACGCCCCATGGCTTTTATTGGAGCATTAACTAAAAGGAATGAACAAGCTCATGAAATCACTGCTAAAACGGCTTGGAATTTCCACTTCAGACCTAAAAATTCACCAAAATGGATGATCTTAGAGTCCAGGCAAAGAAACGAAGAGAAAGGTAGTCCAATGAAACTAAATATTGAGTTTAATTTTTAACTTTGTACTTTGCATAATTTACATTGCAACTTTTCGAAATTCTGTAGCATAGTTGCACATCAGGCGTTCAAACCTTAACTTTTGGTCAGGCCCTGGTCAGTTTTAACTTGCCCCTGGTGACCATGTGACCACCAATTTTTAGCCCTGCAAGTAAGTGATTGACAAAAAGATTCCAAGTTTCTGTGTGTATGTTCAGTAATAGATCAAAAATGATGTCAAAATGTGGTAAAAACAAAAAAGTTCAAATTCTCCAAACTAACATCACACAACTTGTACAGCAAACAGTAAGAAGAATTACTAATGAGATCTTGAAGTAAAATGGTTCAGCCAGCTAGACAAAGTACACAGATTGTTATTTCTAATTTTTTAAAAAATATATTTGTTTTTAATATTTTTTGTACCTGAAGATTAGGTTTATTCTTCTTAGTGGCTCCCTCAAATGATAAACTTGGTAATGATGCAGGCATTGCCCCTCCAATGTCTACTTTGTAACTATCAGAGCCTCTGTTTGTTATGATTCCAATGACTTTCTCTTCCTTCACTGGAATGTACTGAAAAGCATGTCACAAATCTATTTATTTTTATTTATCTTCTTGCAATGCTTAAACAGGTTGGCTAAGTTCAGCTTTAAACCGGGTTTGAATGAGGCTTGTAATGATACTATCTAAAATGATCAGACCACAACTCTGGGAACTACATTCCCTGTTTTTTGAGAGAGGTGCATGGGTCCCTTAACATTCCCTGCTGACCAATGAAGGGAGGTTGCAGGACACAACAAAGGAGGCTTTTGTCTGATTGGCAGAGAGCAACTCAGAAATCCTGGTATTCTATTGGCTCATCCAAAAAGACGGGAGACAGGGTTTACAATTTATCATTCTAATATGAGAACACTAGAATATCTAACCGTTAGCAAATTTCATAATAAAGGCAACACTTTCTCCTCAGTTTTTTCTTTATGACCCTGAGTGTTGGTCCACTCTAAGGCTTGGACCCTAAACCTCCCACAAGGCAATCTAGCGCTCCACAACATGAGCTTCAACCAAGTCTAGGTTAAAGGTTCTCAAGAAATGAATGAGGAGCAGACACACAGGTTACGGGGCCAAAAAATTCCTTGCGCATTTTCTCTACGCAAAGGTTATGTTAGGCGATACGATATTTAACATAACAATTTCCGCAACGTTTGAGCCCAGGTCCCGCATTTCGTTTGTTTAACTTCCCTCGCTGGAAAAGTGAATGAAATTCTGCGAACAACAAAATAATTTGATGGCAGCCATGTAACACAAATAAATTTCACAAACATTCTTCACCTTGCGTTACCATCCATTTTTTAACCTAAGTCAAAACCTCGCAACGTGATGCAAAGTTAAAAGTTGAAGGAAAAGTTTTCTCCAGCATGTTACACGGTGTTGTAATTTTTGCGCAACGATAAATTGCAAGAAGTTTTCGTTACAATTGTTCCATATACCGTGATCAGAAAGAAAAAAAACCTGGAGTTGTGAACAAAAATACTTCGAAGATACTAACCCTTCTTTGATTGCAATCGATCATGTAGATTGACGGGTTTCGATGTCTAAAAACCCCCGCTTTGTAGGCCATGATCACGCCATTTACTTCTCTTAAGCCTGGACCGAGCTTGATTTTGTTTTTCCCTTCAAGTATTCCTTCCAAATCAGCTACACTACCGATAACATCGCCAGGCAACACAACGCGGTTTAAAAGACTTCCAACACTTTTGTCCGCCATCTTTGATAGAAGATCCGCTGATTGTCGACCGGCGGCTCAGAAATCAGCTGCTATTAGTTTCCAGGATCCTCCCCGACTTCGCGTCTTAGATTTCCTGGCTGCCGACCTCTTCAAGCTTTAAACATGATCAAGACTCTTCACTGGTTCGCCTAAAACAAAAAACAAAAAAAAAACAGACAAATAGAAGTTAAATTTTATATTTAATGCCTTCTTTTCCATTCTAAATTACAGTCTCATGCCCTGCCGAAATAAAAAGATGCGTTTCACAATTCACTTAAGTATTTACAACAATTTGAGACAACATATTGCAAGCGATTAGGAGGGCAGAAAATCTTTTAAATCCGCCTTTCTACGATTAATAATTTATTTCACCGTGTTGTTATTAAGAGCCTTATTGGCGGCAAAAGTTTTATAACTGATGGGTGATACGTGGTCTTTACGCCGTCGATCATTCTTTTGATTAACAGCGTGAGGAATAAGAAAGACTTAAAAACTTCCTTTCTAAGAACATTTGGAGATGAAACACCTTTGCTACCAAGTCCTTTCTCTTATATTTCTGTTTTTTTTTGTTAGGAGGCTGGTTCACAGTTGCCAAACAAGGTGAGTAAGCCAGGATAGAACAATAAACTTCAATGTTTTTCCCTTTGAAAAGAAAGGACGTGTTTCGTCCTTTCTTGCCAGTGATAATTGCAATGTGCCGTCTTGTTTTAGTCAAACTATTTAGCTGTTCCTTGAAGTGAGCGGGCATTCAAAAGAAAAATGATTGTTCAAAAGTGATGCTTACATAATGAAAATCTGTATATTACAGCAGAAAAAAAGACCGTTTCATCGGAATGGAATCTGGATTTAAAATTGAAACCTTTGTAATGTGAGCTATCGAAGTGTCACTGAAGTAAGTCGTGGGAAAGTTACCTGGCTTAGTCAAATGAACCACACTTACTAAGAGATTAAGCATCAACCACTTCACCTATCACGAAGAAAGCTCAATTGACGAGAAAACGAAAATGTTAGTTGAAAACCAGATGAATCATGCACTAAAATCTGCCAAAAACAAATTTGCGGAGTTTAGGAACCTGGATCCAAAACTGTAACATCGTCTTGAAGTTCATGTATTATATAAAACAGAGCTTCTTATAAAGGGTTCTAGGAAAGCGTTACGAAAAATTGTAACAACCTCGGTTAAAAGAAACATGTTCGGATATTTTACAATAAGGTGTTATAAGTAATTCTTGTTGTAAATATAAGCTTTTAGAAATCTCCAGACTGCTTAAGCATGCTGACATACGTATCATAGAACTTTCTAGAACATTTCATCAAGTCACGAAGTTATTACAGAATATTACTTAAATAGTAGTATTATAAGCTTGAATGCGGAGGATTTTAAAGGATCACGTAATTTTCAGGGAGAATGGAGGGGGATCAATTGTCTCAAACGGAGTATAAAGAGGGGGGGGGGCTATTAACTGCCAATGTGGAGGGGAGGGGGGGGTCATAAGCAAATTACAAAGCCTAATAGGAGAACCAGATAAATTTTATCGTGAAATAACCAACAGTGTTCTTGAGGTTAGGTAAAGCCGGATGACAAAAGCACTATTTTTTTTGTTTGTTTACTTGTTTTCAAGTAACAGTTGTCTGCCTTATTTTTTTTCTGCACCAGAACAAGTGTTCGATAAACATATGCCACAATGATGCAACTTGTTTGAATGGATTTACAGATCAGGGTTTCCTTTGTTTGTGTCAAGCGGGGTACGCGGGAGAATACTGCGAAAAAGGAGGTGAAAACTAAGAAACCATGATATACACTTTCAAATAAACGTTAAATGGTTTGAATTCGGGGGTACCATGTGATCGTGTAGTCTGATCGTGCGGGTTAGGGTAGTCTTTGTCGGCTGTGGTGACTGACATTTCGACAACCTAAGCGGAAGTCGTCATCAGGGTCAAGTGAAGAGATATTGTCAGTCAAATGCATTGGTCTAGTTCCTGTAAACTGATTGGTCAGCTTAGTTGTGATGTTAATGGCAATGAGACACAAGTGGCGTCATTCGGTCATGATTGCATGATTTGCTGTTTGTCGTTGTCTTTGTTTTTAGTTTTAATACACTCAAATAGGCGCTCTCAAGATACAATTATTTTAAATCGATCGCTTTCACCATGAAGGTGCAGGACACAGAGCGAGGCTTCAAATTAAGTGTACCCTTAAGTGTACCACCTTTTTTAGGTGGCGGTGGTGGCGGATTCTACTCCAGCGGAAGAAGTGGAACGATTTTTGATGGAAGCATTGGGGATCGGGGAGAAGGTGGCATGGGATTTCTTCAGGGAGGGGTGGGTGGAAGAGCTAAGACAAACAATATCATGGGTGGGTTTGGAGGTGGTGGTGGAGCTTATGGGAAAGGAGGATCGGGTGGGGGAGGGGGAGGAGGGTACTCTGGGGGAGGCAGTGGAGGGAGTGAAAGACATTCCTGTAGGGGTGGAGGTGGATCCTACAATTCTGGAAAGAGTAAAAAAAATGAATGCTGTTTCAATGAAGCTGGGCATGGTCAGGTGACCATCATTTTACTGTAGAACAAAGAGATCACGTCTGTCACCAAACACATTATCGAGTGAAATAAAACTGAAATAAGAGCACAGTCTGAAAAAATATTAGACAAAATTTCAAGAAAGCCAAAATTAAAAACAAACATGGTTAAACCTCGGAAACGACGATTCCATTTCATCGAAAGGGATTCGGACACAGACTGAACAATTCCTTGAACTGTTTAGCCGGACTTTGAACTTTTTTGCGCCTTAAAGATGTGAAGATATCATTGCATATTATTGTTTTGATCGTACGCGGCTGTTTTGACCAAACGCACGGTTTGAATAAATTATTTTTGCACGTGATGCGCGCTTTTTGCTTATGCTTAATTATGATAAGCCATCTAGTAATTTTTTCTTCTATATTATTAACACGTAATCACATGATTTTTCTCGTGGAATTTGAAATAAACAAGCACTTGTTAATTTTTTCAAAGACCACAAATTGCACTCGCCCTACGGGCTCGTGCAATTTTGTTAGTCTTTAAAAAAATTTACTCGTGCTTATTTATTCCAAATTGCACTCGTAATCATGTGATTATCTATACAAATGAGTTTAATTCGCATGTGAGTGAAAACTTATTGTCATATGAAAGAATGAGCACCAGGACTCATTTTGAAATTGAGTCCAAAGGTAATTCGGAAATGGCCTATTCATCGGAAAACTCGTGTCTTTAGTACTCTTTTGTTTTTCTCCTTTAAGTTTTTGCAACAAAGCCCTGTCAATCCAGGGCACCTGCATCCCTCCACACATCCGCTTCGATTATCTTTTCCTTTAGGATTGCGCACTCGCGGCCGAACGGGTCACAAGATAAAAAGGTTTTTAATTTGGAAAAAGTGTTTCATTGTGACAATTTTGAAAAGAAAAGTAAAAAAAGACAATATATCTTTAACAGCTTTACTGTAATCGGATTTTCTTTGATGTCCGACTTGCTTGAGAACAAACTGTCTTACAATTGCGTTCCCTATATCATTTTTTTAGATCCATGAAGTTTTAATATAACTTTTTATTCACTCAAATTGCGTCCATCTGCCTTGTCGAGAAAGATATAACCGAAAGCAAAACACATGATGCACTTGAAAGTTTTTGCCGGGAAGTTATTCAAATTCGCTTTCATATCCTAGAGGCTTCCTTTGAATAATCGGAAAAAATATTCAAGTTGGTGTGGATGAGAAGTTCTGGCCGTTTAACCGAATGATCCAGTTTTTCGCTCAGCAAGACTCATCTATCGATTTTTCAGAGTTGAAATAACGCAGCTGCACCTTTCCCACAAATACCCAGTTTGTGTATTTTCCTCCGGTGGGTTTCAGCCGAGGTGCTAAAAACATCTGCCATTGCCTAAACTTTGTATTTTTTAGTTTTCGATTTCGTTGGTACTAGATCTCAGCTAATCGTTACCAATTTGCTTTCCAAGATAAAAAATAAACGGTAATATTTCTACGTTTTTAAAAAAAAATTATGGAGTGTGAAAAGATTTAATACGTCGACATGTGATTAAGGCAAAATTAGCATGTGACACGCGAAATTGTACAGAAAAGCGAGGGTGAGTCGTGAATTTCATTCTGAGCCGGCGTGAGGCGTGATTTTAGTCCTGAAATATACGTGATATCTTACCGTGAGCTAAAAAAAGGTTTCTTCTCAAAACTTCGTTTTGGTAATTCTATTGTAAACAAGGAAATAGCATTTCATTTGAATTTGAATGGAAATTTTGCTGCTACACAAACATGCTTGTCGAGATAAGTATATTACAGTCGCTCGTCGAGTATTTCTAATAGGATTAATGATATCATAATTTAACCTACAAGTGCGGACGAAATACGTCTTTGAAGATTGCTTTTAATGTCTCTGAAAATTTAAGGATAAAAAGCAACACCAGCAAACAATGACGTTTCGCCGACGACATGAATGTCATCATTATCAAATGCAATTAAGAAAAGATTACCGATAATGTAAATATATTATGCAGAAAACGAAGTTGCGAAAGATGACATGAAAATGTGAACTAATTGGGAAGTTTTTGAGTGTTTTCGTGTCTATTCGAGTGTCCATGGTTGGTCTTCGTTCCCATATGAGCAACATTTCATGAATGGGGCATTCAAGCGTGTCAAACTTTCCTCGGCAGTTTTTTAAGATCATTAAATGATGGCGAAGATTACTAAGCCCTTGTAGGTGTTCTTTTAGGTGTTTGCCAATCACAGAGTATTTGCGTTCTTCAATGTTTTAAAGGAGATAACAGCTCGTGAAGCTTATATATTTTGTATCACACGAACAAACGCATTGATTGAAGGTTTGAAGCCAAATCTAAATCGACTTTCGAACGCCGCTTTTGCAAATTTGTCCACGACTAACATGGCGTTAAGGATCGAGTTATTCCGTGCCCTCTTCAATCGGAGAAAGGCATTTCTCAAAGTTCATTCTAAATCCTTTAGGACCCTCAAGGGTTTCCACAGATAATATTACTTCCCTAGGTCTGTCCTCCTGCACTGCTTCGAAATATGCTCGGGAGGATGCCCTTTGGAAGCTTGCTTGAGTTGTCGAGCTATTTACACCATTCTTGTTATCCAAAATAAATGTAACGCCACATAGTCTACCGATTCGTTTCAGCATTCTTCTAACTCCAGCACGAAATTCCCTTTTGCGAATTGAATAAATAATTGGGTTTGTTAGTGAGCTTACGTAGAAGATACACCGCGTGAATGGTATAATTTCAAGTAAGAATTTCTTCTTGTTAAGATAAAACAGGGTATTAGTTATCCACTCGGGTAGATAACAGAGTAAAAATACCGTGATAATGATGCATACGTCGACGGCTGCCTTCCGATCTAAGATCCTTTGTACCTCAAATTGCTCCTGTTTATGCAGGTCAGAATCCTCGAGGGATCCGAGTTGTGCGGCTGCTACAATGTTGATCTGAAGTATGTTTGCTGTTTTAAAAACTCTCCAATTTAGGTAAAGGATTATAATAAAAGGGACAACGAACAAAGTTAATGTCAAAGGAAATATAATCTTGTGGGAGCTCACTGCTGACTTGCAAAATGGCACTTCTGGATTGTAAAAGAATCCCGAATCGAAGAAGAAAGGAGCTGAGCACAGAAGGGAAGGCAGTGCCCATATAAGCACTAACTCCAGAACTCTTGAGGCAGTTATGGAGCCATCGTATGTCAAAGGCGATTTTACAATGGCGATGTATCGTTCATAAGAAACGGCAATGAAATGGAGAACCGTACTCAAATAGAAATATCTTGTAACAGCAATATGAAGAATACACATTGTTTCACCATACAACCATCTCTCTTGAGCTACGCTTGCGATGTTGAGCGAGTTTCCCAGTATCAAAAGGAGACAGTCTGACACAGCAAGGCTAGCGAGAAGAAAATACCGCATCCTATGAAAACTGCTTTCCATGAAAATCGTTGTTATCACCAATAAATTTCCAGGTAGACCGACAACGTCGATGACAGCATGCAAACCTGTAAGGATTTGCGAGTAAACCATGTTTGATTCGGCACGGCGCTATAAAAATTTTGCCCTCTTCAAACGATTCTTGGTTTATTTGTGTGATCCAAGGTTTCTCGAAACAGCATGGTTTTAATCTTAGAGAATCAACCACAAAGAAAATTTTTCAGGAAACAGGTCGAAACGGGGACAACAAATTTGCCTTAGATTTTTAGGGACTATACTTAAACTTCCGTTTGCAAATTTGCTTTCAATTAAACACAAAGAAACAGTCCCCGTAAATGACGCATGGAAATTAAATCTAACGAATCACAGGTTATTAAAATTCGGAGAAAAACTATGAGTCATGGAGTGTGGCGATGGGTTTATACATCGACATGATTAAGAAAAACAGTTTTTGAGTAATTAGGATTAAAATAGAAAGTCAGGGATATTAAGGCTGGCAAGAAGAATATACTGCATTATATGAAACTTGATTTCCGTAAAAAATCGTTTTCACAATCAGTAAATTTCCAGGCAGATCGACAATGTCGATGGTAGCATGAAAACCAGCAAGGAATCGAACTGCAAGAAAACCATATTTGATTTGGCACGGCGCTACCAAATGTCTTGTTTGTCTACAGACTCTTGCTCCGTGTGATCTCAGTTTTGATAAACAGATGGTGTCTAAGCATTTAAGGCGACAGCTAGATAAATGTTGTTAGGATACACGTTTAGAGAGAGCCAATGATACTGCTCTCGACTCTTAGGGAAAATAATTAAATTTCGTACGATTTATTTTCCTTTGCCCAAAACTAATAATGAAATTCTGTTGTCGATTATGCATAAAATTTGGGTCGGAAGATCTTCGGGTTATTAAAATTCACACAGGAGCTTGGGAGTGACCAACGTTTTTAGGAATTACCATGTTAAAATCTGGAAAAAAAAGTCAAGATGACAATTTTTATTAAAAAAAAAATTAAGAAAAGCAAATTGTTAGACAAAATGATCGAAAACGATGTAAAGAAAAGTTGCGTTTTAATGCAAACATTTACTTAGTGGACATGTAGTTCAATTAACAATTTTACAAGAACTGTAGAAGGTCTCGAGGCGCGGGCGCCTGACGTTGTTGACGTCATTTCAGTAATATATATGGTTATATGTGGCCAATTGTGGAGCAGAGAAGCTTTTGATTGTGTTCCGTTCTGTCTGAAAGCACGCCGCTAGCGGCTAGAGCACGAAAGAAGTGAAAGGGGACGTAGTCGAGTGTAGCCGAGTGTTTCTCCCTACCTCTACAATTCATGATGCCAGCGAACAAATGTGCGCAATTTTTTTTACAAGAAGCTTGTCAGAGTAAAACTAATAGGACTACCTTTAATCTGGCGACTAAGTAGACGATTATTTATATAAAGGAATTAATTGCGCGTTTCAGGTTTAGTTTATTCAGTTAGTTTTTATTGGATCGAGGTCATGTGTAACAGTTTGTTTTTCCAAAAGACTCTAGGGGTAGAATTTAGTAATCCTCTTTTATCGGAAGTCTAGGAAGACTTTA